TGTTCAGTTTAATTGAGTTTATTGGTACATTTTAGGGATACAGTACAGTTACGTTCATTGTTGGGATCTTATACCTCTACATGACAGGTCTTGGTTCTCGTTTTTTCCCCTTGTCCCTACCCGCCCTTCACAAAACTTTAATTTCAACTGAGGATGGGATAGGTGGGAAACAGAAAGCCTGTGTAGAGCAACTTTTAGCTACCCATACTTTGAAGTTAGCAAGCCTGGATTTGAACATTGACCCTGTCACTTACTGTACACATCATCATTGCCAACTTATGACACAGCTCAAGCTTTTGTTTTCTTATATAACAAATGTATACAATTATCATTCCTTTTTCATGGGTACCATCATTTTGATAATCAATGAGCTCACCTGTCCCTGCCAAAAGGTAAGAGCTTAGTAAATGGTAGCTTTTATTACCAGGAATAATATCAATACGGAGTGTTCCTCAATTCTTATTAAAAACGAGCCCACCACCCTCTGCTTTTATGCTGGCCTAACTTTGAACCCATGTAGTAGCGCAAGTACAGGTTGACCTTGACTTCACACACCCTGATGTTGTACCTATGCCAGTTGGATATTGTACTGTATGTCTGAGGACTTTATCTTAACGCCAGCAAAAAAGTGACACATGGTCGGAAGCATTCTGTAGAAAACAGGCTGTGTGATGGCATGAATGAAGACAGCAATGGAAAAGAGATGATAGCCAGAAAGGGCAGAGGTGCTGCCTTTAAGGAAAGCACATTTTTAAGACAAAGGGCAACATGGGTCGGGGGTTTAGCTCAGTAGTTCCATTGTCTGCCTCACAAGTGCAAGGTCTGCGTTTGATCCCCAGTACCAAAATAAATAAATAAATAAATAATAAATAAAGGGGAACATGAAGGAGTTAAGCATGTAACTACTAAACACTATAAATGCCTGAAGAGTTAGAGCCGTATCTACATCCTCTGTAGTTGGAAAATTTTGGATCTTCGTATTGTAACTTTGCTATTGATCAGATATATCAGATGAAAAGCAATGGCCTCAGCATTGGAGAAATTGTTCTGGTATTGTGTAGTTGGATGCAAAGGAATCAAAATTTAAAGACCAAACCAGAAGAGCATTATGATTTGCATCTGGATGTCCCCCCAAAGCCTCGTGTGCTCTAAGGCGGGAGTTTGCAGAAGATGCTTAGATTAGGGGGTGTTACAGCTGGCTTACTGTTGTGAGGTGGGGCCTGTCTGGAAGAGGGGATCTCTGGGGCCGTGACCTGGAAGGGTGCAACTCCTTCCTGAGTCCTCCCTATCTCTCTGCTTTCTGGAGACTGTGATGTGAAGACCTTTACCTCCCCTATGCCTCTCTGTCGTGCTGTCCTCCCTTGGAGCCAGACAATTATGGTTTGAAGCCGCACACATCATGAGCCAAAATAAACCTCTCCTATTTATTTCACTTAAGAGTACTCAATGTACACTCATTATATATCCACTTAGCTATAAATATCTCTAGTTCCTTATTCCTTATGGCTGAGTTGTACTCCATTTTATTTAAAAAAAAAAAAAAAGAAAAGAAAAGAAAAGAAAAAAGAACAAAAACCACATCTTTACCCAGTCTCCAGTTGATGGGCAAATGGGCTGTTTCCAAGCTTTAGCTATTACAAATTGTGCCTCTGTAAACATGGGTGAGCATATATCTCTGTGGAATGATTCTTTTAATTCTTTTGGAAAGATACCCAGCACAGAGATATGCAACCTCTAGTCCCAGCTCTTTGAGGTATCTCCATATTGATTTCCACAGTGGTTGCACCAGTCTGCACTCCCACCAACAATGGAGAAGGGTTCCTTTCTCCCCACAACCACGCCAACATTTGTTATTGGTTAATTTCTTGATAGCTGCCATTCTTTGTGGGGTGAGGTGGAATCTTAGTGTTGTTTTCATCTGCATCTCTCGAATGACCAGTGATAATAGTTTCCCTGGTATGAGAAACTAAAAGTGTAAATAAGGATCAAAATGTATAAACAATAATGTGAAATAGGAAGAAAAGGTCTAAAAGGGTAGGGGAAGTAAGAGGGGTAGGGGAAAGGAAAAATATGAGAAAAGGAAAAAATGGAAAGAAAGTTTTTGTAAATAGAGAGGAGTAGGGGTGTTGAACAGAGGGCAGGGGAATGGGGAAAAATTAAGAACCAAGATACAGCCTGCAAGGACACAAGGTCCCAGTGATGAATGTAACTGAATTGTACACCTAAAATGTGCCGATAAACTTAATGAAAAAAATTTGAAAAATAAATCTCTCCTCCTTGAATTTGTTCAGCAATGAGGAAAGTGACTGTGACAAAAAGGAAAAAAAAAAGTCATCCTAAGGTGACCAACAAAAGCTACTATGGAGCTAAGCAACAGGCCCTTCATTCAGGAAGCAGCAGCCATCCAGGAGCCCTACAAAGTTCTTGCGCAATTGCACAGAATCTCCCTCCGCTTCGTTCTTTTGATCTTCTCTCACTTCCTCTCCTACTTATACCACTTCCCCCTTTGAGATAGCCGTGCTCACAAGCTCACTGGGTAAGGAAGACACGCACGAAGTGTGAGTACTTTCGAAGTACATAAACAGACGCCAACCGAAGTGATGTATGTGTAAGAGTATCCGTGCGAGGGTGTCGAAGCACCAGAAGTGGCTGGGTTAATTACCTCTTCCTGCTTCTCTTCTCGTGTCATCTGAGTCATTCTTCCTTATCTGTTCACAAAACAGTGTGTGTGTGTGTGTGTGTGTGTGTGTGTGAAAATTCTGTTTTCACATTCTCTGAGGGTTTAGCTGAGAAAGGGTTCTGTTCTCTTTTCACAGCATTTTTGTCCCTGTGTGTAGCTTGGTGAGCCAAAACTGTGGACGAGAATTGAAATACAATAAACAGTTTGCCATTTGCTTCTTTTTCATTTTCACTCGACGGCGTTTCTTCCTACAGCAGGAGCTTTTGAATTATTCAAGCCCTGGATTATGTTAATCTTCATTTCTTTCATTTTAGTGCCACGGGATCCCCGTCATGATTCAGATGGCAAAATTTTTTTGGTGAGCGTCTATGGACTGACCATCGACACAATTACCAACTCATACACAGATTCATTTCATTTAATCCCTTATGGATGGCCCTCTTCCCACTGAAGAGGGTAAAGATATTTCATTTTAGTATCAATGTTTAAAGAATAAGGTTGTTGAAAAAAAAACCATGATATGTCCTCAGAACTAAAAAAATAGTGAATCCTTAATATCATCAAATACCTCACCAGCCTCTCTTTTTTACATTTTATTTGTTTAAAATGATAGATAAATTTAATAGATTATGACTATTAGAAAAATTCCTATTGATCTAAATAAAGGTGCTCTTACATTTGTTTCTGTAAAATTGGAGGAGTTATGTTGCCCTGTTTTTCCATACTTTTCGTGTTTCTGTAATGAGATGTTACATCCATTGGGATAGATATCCCTTCCACTTTTATTTGTGGGAGCTCTCAGTGCTCAGTCTTCTGGGTGCACAATCCCAGTGCCACTCTGAGGAAAAATCGAACCACAGTAATGTCAGTGACACAAAACAAACCAGGTATCGGCATACAATACCAATTAAATTCAACAACTTTCAGAGCTATAAAGTGCTTATTTTTAGCATTTTTGCCCAGTTCTTGCCTTTTTTTCCCTATCTCTTCTTCTGCCTAACCAGAAGTCCTTCAATCCTACCTTCTTATTTTGGATACTTACATTTTATCTTTATTGTAAGTAAATAGTAATTACAAGTCCCTGTAACAACACCAACATTACACCAGTCTTTATGTAAATGCTTGTCCAGTCTGAATTGTATTCTACTGGAGAATACTCAGAAACTGTCTATGAAAACAGTATTTACCTGAATTTCTGCATGGCCCTTACACTCCTCTTTAGTCTTCATATTACAAGGATAATTGTACCAACTGTGGCTCATATTTTCTTGCCTTGCGTAGATTTATTATGCCACTCTACTATTTTCTGACACAGAATTGCTAACATAAAGCTAACAGCAATCTGAATTTTTGCATTATTGACTTTATTCCATACTTTCAATAAGAATATGCTTAATGTCCATTCTGCATCTGTTTTCTTGATTTTTCAGTATACTGTTTTAATATATTTTTATTTTAAGTAAGTTTTATTGAATTATTGTTCTTAGTATTTATTCTCTTCCATGCTTTGATTTTTCCTTCAGTGCTTCGTATTATGTTTTTGTCTTCTTTTCATATCATTTATTTTGAAGCCCTTTCATCTTTTTTATTTTACTTAAAATATTAATTATTAATGTATTAATTTAAATATGTATCTTATTCTACATTTTAATTTCTATTTTTTAATTTTCCTTTGATGGGCCGGGGGTTTAGCTCAGTGGCACCAGGCCTGCCTTGCAAGTGCAAGGTCCTGAGTCCTATCCCCAGTACCAAAAAAAAAATGTTTTCCTTTAATGCATTCTACTTGTATTTATTTGTTTTCTAGTTTTTCTTCATTTCTGGGGTGATTTTTGCAAATAATTTCCAACTCTTTTCTGAATTCTGGCACCTGTGTTTTGTTAGCCTTTTATTCCTCCAATGAGCTCATGTATCAATCTTTCCAAGATTTTGTACAGCTTATACAATTTTCTTTATTTGTTTTAGTTCATTTAAAATAAATAGGTTATAGTTTTATTTTGTACTCATGTTTTGCTAGTGTGCTTTTGTTGTAGGAATGTTATTTTGTTATCTAGCCTCATTTTTTTAAGAGTAGCTTTTTATGAGTGATTCCACTCATTTCTTATTGCTCTTGTTTAAGTGCTTTTTTTAAAATCGTTATCATGGAAGTCTGGGCCAAGCTAGCTTTCCTAGAGTCTTGTGTGTGTGTAGAGACCTCCTCTTCTGTTATTTTCAAGATAAACAGTATGCCATTAGACTTACTAAGTGCACATTCTGTGCTTCTATGCCCCACTTTTATCGAAATTGCCTCTGATTTCTGCTGTTGGATGTGTCACTTAATTTGGATTCTACTCTTAAGGGTTTCTTCTCAGTGTAGGATACAACTTGAAAAGCCTCATCCATCCCAGCAGTGAGTACCCTATTCCTTTTCCCTTTAAAACACTGTTAAATTTGGACCTAGTAATTCTCTCCTCCACTTCTATCCTGTTCTCAAACTGGTCTGCCTCACTTTCCAGTGATTGCCTAATATTCAGGGGGAAGGTTCTGTGGTTCCTGGGCTGTCAGAAGCATGGTTGACTTTTGTAAGGAAAGTTAAAACTTTAAGTTGGAAAGGCTTGGGTTAAGGCTTTCGGCTGTCTAAGGCGCATAACCACTAGTTCACCTCTTCTTTCCCTGGATACCTGGCCAGTTCCCTGGGAAAAAAACAGGGAGGACTTTGTTATAAAGACCAGATGTTCTTAACATCAAGATAAGGAATGTGATGCATTCCGCCCTTCCCGGACCCCTGGCCAGGGCCTGGTTAGGACGTGACTGCAAGCACATTCACCTTTTTTCTGCTCCAAAAGTACAGGTAGTTTTACTACCTTTGTCTAGAGAGCTATATAAACAGCCCGCGTAGCCCAGGCTGCTGCTGCTGTCTTACGCCCAGCATTGAGACCTGTAGCTGGAGGGACTGCTGAAAAGACCCATGCTGTGTTGCAAGTGACGGACCTAATTCCTCCAACATTCCGGTGTTGTTGCCAGAGAGCCTAAGGGTAATTTCCCGGATAGAGTCCCTCCTGTTGTTAGAGGACTCCCCTCTTTCTTTGTCCTCTCCATTCTTACTTTTGTTTTCTGTATGCGCATATCCTTCAATAAACTTTCCCTTTTGTACTTATTTAAGGCTGGTGGACGTTCTTTTAGCGGATCGAGCCAAATTAATTTAGGAGACCGTGCACGACAAAGGACAATAAATAAAATTTGTCCTTACAACTTTCCTCTGTTTCTTTTCACGCAGGAGTCAATACCACAATGGTCTAGCAGTTTGTGCCAACCGGTTAATGGGAATATGTTGTTATTCAGTGTTCTTGCAGATATCATCTGTGGTGTTTTAGTTTAGATTTTGTTTTATAATTGTGTCACTTGTACTGTCAACTTCTCAGCATCCAAACAAACCTCAAAAATGTAATACTTATGCATCTGGATAATGTGCTTCAAAATATGTTGAGAGCATTTCATGGACTTCACAGGTCTTAGCACCTAGATCAGGATCTGCTTAATGTAAATTTCAGTAAGACAATTAAATAACTCCAAGAATAAATTAAATAACTCCAAGAATAAATTAAATAGTAGTAATGGTATGTATGAATAATAGTAAAAATAATAGCACCATTAAATAGTAGTAATAGTGGTATGAAATATGTCAAGAAATTATGATGGTTGCATACAATTTATTCCACTTAGAAATACTGTTAAAGCTAAATTACTTTAACAGGGATAGGTTTCTCTTTTTCTAAATTATGAGGATGGAGTAATACATACCCATGGCTTCTGCATGTGCAGATTAAATAATCACTGGTAAAAAATATTAGGAAAAAAAATGAATCCATACAATCTACTGAAAGTTTTGTCATCATTCTTTAAACAATATGGTATATCAGGTATTTACATAGCATTTACATTATATTAGGCTTTATAGGTAATCCAGAAATGATTTTGTTATATGGGAGGATGTACATAGATTCTGTGAAAATATACACCATTTATACAAGGGATTTGAGAATCCACAGATTTTAATGTCTGTTTGAGAATTCTGAAACAAACATTCTATAGATACTGAGAGACAATACTTCTGATCCCAGCATTCTGGGAGGCTGAGGCAAGATGATCACAAGTTTGACCTCACTTAAAGAAATTTAGCAATCTAGTGAGACCCTGTCTCAGAATTTTTTAAATTAAGAAAAAAACAACTGGACATATAGCTCAGTGTGAAGCTCTGGGTTGAATCCGGGGTGTGTGGAGAGAGAGAGAGAGAGACAGACAGAGAGAGAGAGAGAGAGAGAGAGAGAGAGAATGATAAGCAACTCTGTGCTTCTCATAGATTGCTATTTCCATTTATATAATGAGGATGATAGTGGGGATGTGCCTCTTTACTTCAAACTCATACCCTGAAGATAGATGACTTTTCATACTAAAGCTTATTTTGTCTCTTCAATAAAAATCGCTCTCAAAAATCTATGTATTTTCCCATAGTTTTTGTTATGGTTACACAGGATGAATGGAGAAACAACCATACAATACAAATAAAGGTAAATTGGACTTTGGAAATGCCAAGCTTTCAAAATATCTCCTCAGAAATTTTGTCTGAGTTCACTTTTGCATGGTTTGTGGTAAGCGTTGCCCTTTTCAATGAATAACTGCAATGATCTTTAAATATTAATGAGATAAAACGAATAACAAGTGATAATAGAGAAACAGGAAGAGGCAGGCATTATCTTGGTGGCTGGCGGGGGTGGCTGGGGAAAGAAAAGGACACAAAGATTTCTTCTAAGTAGGGAAGACTCCAGTTTATGAATGCAGTAGATTAATTACAGAAATTAGCTCCTAAAGGTTAATTTCTACTTCAAACCATCTACTAAACCATGATTAGAGAGAGAATAGACGTAATGGTATGCTGGAGAGGGACCACACCCAGCAGAAGCCCCTACTCACAAATATGAAAAACTAAGTAAAGATATAGCCCCTTTTCCAATGCCCTATATTACAACAGTCTGAGGAAAATACAGGGCTGCTTCAGGTCAGGAAACACAAAACCTAATGTGTATAAAATATAAGTAGAACGTGTACATGAGAGAAGTAGGCTTTGCATAAAGAAATAGTCACTGCTCAGCTCTTTGAACACCACAGGGGAAGGCAGGACCACAGCTGTCTGCTTTCTGACTCAAAAATTGTAGGAAGCCATAAATCTGTGTTTTTCATGAGAAATTTTCTAATTTAAAAGACACTTTGTAGAACAAAATTAAAATACTGACCTATTATCTTGATAGAACAATATACTAGGACATACTAAAATCTAGTATTTTTTAAATTATCAATTAAAACTTTTCAGAATAGTCATAGTCATGTTAGTTAAGTTGCTTATCATGCCCTGTGTGATGACTAAATTTCTTCAGTTTTTCTCTGCTTAAATATTGCAAAATTCACTTATCTAGCTGCATAATTTGATTTGCCGTGCCCCTTAATAGCAATGTATTATTTGCATATTTTGTCTACCTTTATTATTTTATGATTAGTCTGCAGTATTATTATGCCATGCTGTGTCATCTAAATTTAATTTTAAAAACTAAATTTATAATGATTTCTACAGCTTTGACATGGAAATTAACAGTGTTATCATATAACAGATAAATAAAATCAACAATTATAATAAATATGAAAGAATTGTGTCATTTTAACTTTAAGCCAATGAAATGGAAGCTGACTAATAACCAGCATGTACAATAAGCTTCTAAAGCTATTAAATCAAATGATAACAAGAGAATAACACATTACAAATATACCATAAAGACGATTTGAAGAATCACATAACACTATGGATGATGCTGACCATGGTTAGGTTCATTTTTTAGATTGTCATCAAGATAAAAACGCAAGATTTAAAAATTCTTACAAAACTCATAGATTCCTGTGATTGTAACAGCTGACAGAGTTTGGAAAATATTGTGATTCATATGATTGATTCTTCACCTTACAAGTTACTTAGGTTTTGTGGACTGTCTTGGAAACTTAGTCCTTACACATAAAAAGGATTCTCTCTGAGCACCTACCAAATCCAAAATAACAGATTCACACAAAGACATTTTTCACTGTCCAGATATTTTTGGATAGTCAGTAATATGAAAATACAAATATATTATAAAATGACTTTCCACACTGTTCTAAAATCTATCATTTTTTTTATTATCTGTGACAAAATGTTTTCCACTTGAAAGGATTTGGCTTTCAAAATGTAAGTGTTCCTGGAAATTATGTTTATCAATATAAATCAATTGCTTTTAATAAACATGACATACTGCTGTTGTTAGAAAAGAGTTAAAAGTGGCAGTGATACTGTGAGGGCTGAAAATTTGCTATGCTAAACAAGGCAGCAGTGAAAATGTTCTGTTCATTCCTTGCTTACATTACTAATATTTCCACCAGCAGGACAACAATTTCTATCTTAATTATCACAACTTGCTATCAGTGGGATTTGTTTAGTGGAGTTTAACTGCAGAGATTTTTGCTGGCCATTTCTTGACTATCTCATGAGTATGTGATCGATTTCTCTAAGCAGATGGGAAGTCTCCAGTCAGCCTGCTTCTTCTACATGACTCTGAGCTTTTCTAGGGTTAAATGCTACATCTCTCACTTCCAAAATCCCTAGCATCTAGAACAGGCCTAGAACATAGGAAGTCAATAAATACTTAATAGCTAATTTAATGGAATGATTTCTATCATTCCTCTTTATTCACAATCCTATTTGTTGTCCTCATATTAAATTGATGGTCACTAAATGTATGATGTTGATTGGTCAATGGCTGGGATTTCATTTGGTATAAAAGACTAGATATTTGATAAAGTATCTTTTATCTAGTGGTTTCCTTAAAAAAAAAAAAAAGCTGGGGGCTAGGGATATAGCTCAGCGATGCTGCCACCTGCCTTGCCTTGCAAATGCAAGTTCTCCCTAGTACCAAAAAAAAAACTAAGAAGATTATAAAAATATATTTTTGAATACTGCCTGGGCATTCAGAATAAATGAAGACTGGAGAGAGTGCACATAAAGTCACACAGTGAGAGAGTCCTGAGCAGCTACTAGGACCTCAGACTCAGCAGTCACTTTCAAGATTGCATCATGATGTAGACGACTTGAGAAATGTTTTGAAAGAAACATTTCTTCAAAAGTAATATCGCGCTGGCAAATGTGTTGATTAAATTCCTATTGTGCATTTCTCTTTTCAAAAATCAAAATCAGTTTGGTGGTCTGATTTACGTCCCTGTCCCTGCTGTTGATGGCCGTGTGATTTAGCGTCTGATATGAAAACACCTAACGTCTTCCTGTTATCACTGTTCCATGCAGTGACGTATGGCAGAGGGCTTCACTATTCCCTCTAATCCCTTCATTTAGATCTTCTTTCGTGTCTTGCTAAACTAACAATGATAACTGTCATTCCTACACACATGAAATAATGGGGCTTTGGGTAAAAGATGATGAAAAGATGCTCTGGAGGACAAAAACCTGCTGCACTAGACTTAGAAACTGGAAACCGCAAACACTTCCTGCCCGAAGTGCTTTGTTAAATTATAGAAACAATTTTATAAACTAAAATTATCTAGGTCGCTCAGAAACAAAAATCATGTCCTCCTGTGAGTGGAAATCTAACTTAGTTATGACTCTCATGGGAAAAGGTAATCTTGGGATTTTTCTATATCATTAAGAGGTCTCTTTGCTGCTTATACCTGACCCCATGCTTAGACTATCTTAGATGAAACAGAGCTTTTGTTGGGGAAGCTACATTTCAAGACTGTGACTACATTGAAACAGGCAGCAGGCACAAATACACAGTGTATGTAATTTTGTCCCGTCCCCAGATACTTCAGTTAACCAAGTACACACAAAAGGTCAACATTTCAATGAAAACTGAGGACCAAGGTGAATAGTCGAGGGACACATAAGAAATCATAGATGTATTCTCAGGTGAGATGCCATTAGTAGATTAAGAACAAGTGATATCTGTCTTATTTTATGTCCTGGAATACAAGCATAAAGTCAGCTGAACAATCCTTCAGCCTTATTCTGGGAACTTCCAAACTCACTCTGACATTTCATTTTCATTCCATATTATTATTTTGATTTCCCATAGTATAAATGTTAATTCAATCCAATAAAGATGGTAAATCTGTTTTGAGAGTGAGGTCCTGCAGGGATATATTGGACATATTTTTTATCTCAACATATACTTTTAAAGAAGTGCAAAAAAAAATAGTAGTATAGGAGGAAAATAGTTTATTTCTGACTAGATGGGTCTGGGAAAGCTTCTTAGCAAAGGTTATTTTTGAACTAGTAAATTAAAGAAGAGTTGGTTGACGGATCACAGACATAAACTGAATCCAGACTTCAGGAGTCAAAGTACAAGTTGGTAGTACACATGGAAGATTCTAAGGAAATATTTGTTCCTGAAATTAGTAGATAAAAAATGAGTTACAGGCCCGGGATTTAGTTCAGTTGTGTCACCACCTGCCTGGCAAGCACAAGGTCCAGAGTTTTATCTCCTGTCCAAAAAAAAAAGAAAGCATTTGAGTGTTTCATTTAAGAAAAAGAGAAGATACACAGTTTAATACCTTTCAACCAGAAAGACAAGAAATTTAAACAGTTTAATTTTAATAATAAAAGCACATAGCTGATTTATCTATATTTTAAATTCTTACAGATTTTCTATCTGCAAATATATCTTTTTATTATGCTTTTTAAAATTTTTTGCACCATATTATAATTAAATGAAAAGCAAAATAAGATGCAAACAATGTTTTCTCATACATATGAAAAGCATTTCTATTTAGAAAACAAAACTACAATGTCTCACCTAATGGCAGTGTAAACAATAATGATAGAGAAATGTTGCTCTGGTTGCTCTAGATCAATGGATGCAGAGCATTTAAACATGCAGTCTGCTCGACAGCACCCACTGGGTGGAGAACATAAAGGAAGTGTGAGATAGGAAGCAGTTTGGAGATGAAGAATTAGCAGTCAGTGCAGTTAACAGTATTTATAGGACCAGCTCTGAATACCAGTACTTGTCACCTACTGTGATCAACCGAGCTGGCTCTGATGTCCAGCTGGCTCCTGGCTCCAAGGAACTCAGGCTGGCCCAGAGAGGGGATAATATCATTAGGTCAGGTAGTACTAATATCCCTCTTCTGGACTGAAAATTCCAATCCTACTAAAAAATAGAAAAACCTCAATGAATTAGTTTAGGATTTGATATAAGGAGAAGTTTGCCATGACTCGATGTGACTCCATTCAGCCCTCATCATAATTATTTTACCATTATCTATGTATATAATTTAATTATGCATTTATTTCTCTTCTTTTGGCTGATTTTTGTATTTAATCTTGTTGAATCTGTTCATATCTTCAAATAGACTATATGCTGAAAAGACAAAGGGAGGTCCTACCATGTTTGTGAAGCTGTATATGGCAGCCATTACAAGCTGGACCTTTGGAGGGAAAGTGTTATCTTCAAGTCCTGGCTCACTATTTTACTACCTGTGCAACCTCAGGGCTGAGATGAGGGTGAGGGTATGGGCTGTGAACCCTGAGAGGAAAATTTAAGGAGGCACCAAAAAAATCAGTAATGAAAATAAATGTCAATATAATATTTTAATCAAAGTTTAGGGAATAAATCATGGTGAACAAAATAACAAAATTTTATAAAAACCAGGCTGTTGCTTGAGTTCTGGCTGTATTTAAATTGCTCACAGAATTGTATTTTCCAACCAGCCTGTGGTTCCTGTGTCTTTATGGCCATGTCCCCCTCAACAGCAGAGCGCAAAAATTGACAATGGCAGGACTACACATTGAGCAATGTATGGCATTTTTACTGTCTTGGTCCGTTTTCTGCTTCTGTAACAGAACCCCTAAGACTAAGGTACAACAAGAATTTGTGCTCTCTAAATTCTGATGGCTGAGATGTCCACAACCAAGGTGCCACAGGGCAGGAACTGGTCTTTCTGCTCCCATGCTAGCTGCATCTTCCTGAAAGGGAAAAACACTGTCTTCACACAGCAGAAGTGTGGAAGGGAGAGAACCTATTTCCACAGCCCCTCTCCCATTTGGGTGCAGGGCTGTAGCTTGAACCTACAGCATTAAGCTTGCTAAGCAAACACTCTAACACTGAGTCCGCCCCTAAATCGTTTCCCCTTAACATTATTGTGTTTGGAATTAAATTTCTTTTTCTCCATTTTTTATTTTGTATTACCACAGATTTGCATGACATAATGGTTACATTTTAACCTGATTTTTGGAAGGGAGAAAAGCATTAAAATATACCAATGACTAAAACGTTTCTCAGTTTTAACTAGTCAGATAGTGAATACTAATGAAATATAGCAGATTGATCACAGTTGTAGCGGGAGGCATTAAACTCATATAACTGACCATGTGCTAAATGTCAGGACTAGAATAGGTACATCTTATATGTCAGCGACTTAAATAAATAAATATATACGTGTATCCCATTAAAATGTAAGGACGCATCAAGTTGTAAGCTCATAAGCTTTTAGAAATATTTATTAATATTTGATTAAGAACACAATTTTTTCTTTGAAGAACAAGAAAAGACAAGAAAAAGAGGTAGAATTAAAGGCTTTGCCTACAGACCCCTATCATTCTGTTTTCTGCAGACCAGGCTACCTAAGATCATTATTACATATCAGGTAGGACTTGAGTGCCTCTCATGTATTGTATGTCTATCTGTGATGCCTAATGTCAAAAGCGGGTCAATATATTACAAGAATACCCCTTTCAACCAGCAATTTGCCCACACCCCAGAAATCTGTTGCCTACACAAAGGATTCTGGCTTTCTGGACTTCATTTTATATTTCTTATTCCAGATTTTCTAACTGGTTTTTCATTCATTTTATTTTTATGCTTTGGCTTTTATCTACATGCTATCTCTGATTCTTATTCATCCACGGCTCTGAGCATTCCTGCTTTGAAATGTTGTAATTTAAATACCTTTTTACACCATGTTAACTTTAAGCAAGTTAATAACCTCAATTTATTCCAAATTATTGTGGGAAGTATAAATAAGATTTGAAATAACTTTGCATAGTACCGTAAAGATATTGGATGCTGAATAACCTCAGGCTATGGCTAATAAGAATATACAAGTTTAGGGATCAGAGAATCATAGTATTCTCTCTCCCTTTCTCAGCTCTAGGCATTCCCAAGTCTAGACTTTGCCTGGGCTAGCGATATCTATCTCTTCTCTTGCTTGCTCAGTGAAAGTAGACACTCACATGCAAATACCTTTTATAAAATATGGGACTATAGATTTCTAAGGACTCTAGAATCTCTCAGGAATTCCTTATATAACAGGTTACAGAAAATTTTGCAAGTGAATAGCACCTTTCACAATGAAGAAACAAACCCCTTCCAGGAAAAAAAAAAATGAGCAAAAACAAAACTTGTATATAGCTTGGTTTTTCTTTATTCATTTCTTTATGGTATCTTTTTTCCATCAAATAAACTACTGGAGCCAGTCACACCCTGTTATATAATAAAGCCAAAAGCAATTGTTCCTAGCAATCTCTAATATGTGGCTGCCTTTCTTCCCACAACAAAACAACAGATAGAAATTCCCAAATGGCAAGCCACATACTGAAGAACCAACCACGAACATTTTTGTCTTACAAGGTATTGTATGTATGAGCCAGAGGCGGTCCGATGACTCTTGTGCTAAAGGACCTGCAGGGGGAGCCTGCTCCCTTAACTATTGGCCTCCAGATCAGGCCAGGGAAATGCCTTCCATTTCCTTCAGGCAGCAGCCACAATCATTAGAGCTCCATGGGAACCCAGGCTCTGGAATACACTTTTGCTTTTGATGGTCCAGTCTTCTTCATTAGGAAAAATAGTACATGGGTTCATAATGCTGAGTGAAATAAATAAGACACTAAATGTTATGTATCACATGGTTTATTTCACATGAGAAACCCAAAATATAAATTATTTAAAGAGCAAACTAAAAGAAAAATGATAGTAAACAAGCAGATAGACTGTGGAGATGCAAAATGATTCTGGAGGTATAAGGAGATGGGAGAGACAGAAGGGGAAGTAAAAAAGGATTAAGATGAAGTACATACATATGCCAGTGCTCAATGATGAATATACTCACTATGTATGGGAAACAAATAAAAATTTTTTAAAAATAAAAGTGACACAGTCTTGCAGTGTTGTAAAAAGGTACCTACATCACTTCAGGGCTAAGATTTTAGCAGGCTGTGATTCTTTGCAGGCAACACTATGCTATTATCACATGTAAGGCTGATAAAAATCCTAGCCAGATTCATCTGTAGAGTTGTGCCTTACATGAGAGTTCCCCCTAAGTAAATTCTAAAATTATCTGTATAATTAAACTCCTAAATATGTCCATGATTGAATCACTCACTCACCTGACTTCCATTTTTTTCTACCCTGAATTTATCTAAATTTAAATTTGGGATTCTGAGCCATAGATATTTGCTTTCATTATTTTGTAACTTTTAGCCCTTCAGATGCATTTCTGCTCACCCTTCTATACTTTAGCTCTTTCCATTTTCCCCTGTGCACAATGTCTGTGATTTACTTAGGCCAGTGATTCTTAGCCCTGGATCACCTGAGAGCCTTTAAAAAATATTCCGGTCCAGGCCTAATCCAGAGGAATGGATGTAGAGTTTGTAGAGAAGGACCTTGTGCATCAGAAGTTTCAGAGTAATATGAGGGAAAAAAATGGAAACAATGTCTTTGAAAATAGGGAGGGCAGGGAAAGAGAGGAAAAATAAGAACCAAGATATATCATGGAAAGGTGCAAATTCCCAATGATGAATATCATCCTATTGTATACCTAAAATGTACCAATGAACTTAATGAATAAAAAAAGTTGCAGAGCAGCTTGACAGAATATTGAGTTATCACGACCGGGAGAGGACTTGGCACTTCTTCTACCTTTCTTCTCCTCCAGAATTCTCTCTTCAATGGGAAGTTGGTCAGCACACTGACTGATAGTGACCACAGAGGGCTTGCCCATGGAAACACTGTGCAAGGTGAGAATAATGAGTGTTTTTCTTCACAGATCCAAGGGAAGATAATGAGTACAGAAGCCAAGTACGCCAAATAAACTGATCTCCAAATTTCAGATTAACATTTGAAGTTACTGGTAGTGCACACATAAGGATATACAGATATAAGGGCGAGGACCATGATTAGGATGAGGTGACTAGGATAGAATTCAACAAGGCTTACACAAGACCTTGTTTGCCTCTTTACCTTGTCGTAGTCCTGACTCTGAGAAAGGCTAAAATTCCTTTTCTAAAGAAATTCTGGCCAGAAACAGTGGCTACAGTTTTCTGATTCCTGTAAAGTTTTAATTAGCAAAATGTACAGTTTCCTCACTACATATCAACATTAAAAACTCAGAGCTTTCTAATGATGTATCATTAGCTCCCCCTTCCAGGCCCACAAAACCCACCCCAAATATGCAGCTTCTGGAAGGTTAACAAGGGGAAGGTCAAGTCAGAAAAGCAGCAAGCTTCTATTCATATTTGGAGTGGGTGACAATAGTTTTTAGTTGAAAGTCAAATATGATGATACTTTCTCTAGTAGCATACGAAATACCTCTTCATTTTAATTCATCATTTTTCTTCTCTCTTTTACAAGAATAAATTAATTAATGTTCATGTAACACCTACTTCAGAGCTGGCCTGCCTGAATATCTGATAGCTCGCCATTTTTCTTTCCTCACAAGGAGATCAATGGTACTCAGGAAACTATTATCTCCCATGGTCATCACATCGGCAATTCCACATCATTTAAAGACAGACTCAAGCTAGGTCCAGTCTATAGACTTCATCTCTATCCAGACCAAATCCACGATAATGGTTCTCTCACCATGTTAGAGTCAAGCCTGGTAAAACCTCGAAGAGCTCCACCACTATGAAGGTCTTTAGTAAGGGATTTTGCTCTACGATGCCTACCCTCCACCTGCAAATATCTCATGCCTTGTTGTCCCCTAAAAATAAAGCTCCTCCAGCCACACCTGAGTAACTGTGCTGATCCTTATCATTCTTATTGGAAGTGAGGCAAGGATGAAAGGCTAAAAAATAATTATTTTGAGAGGGTGAAGGGAGGGCAGGGGTATGGGGAAAAAATGAGAACCAAGACCTGTCATGCAAAGGTACGAAATCCCAATAATGAATGTAACTGTACTGTATACCTACAATGTACCAATAAATTCAATGAGAAAAAAATAATTATTATTTTTGTTCATAGAGAAAATCATACAGGAAGCCATATATGAGTCAGTTTCATGTAGGAGCCATATATGAGTCAGATTTCAATCTTAATTTTCCCTAAGGATACTGAAACTTGATTTAATTATAACAATCAAAATCTAATTGTTCATTTGGCTAATTGCCCTAGTTGCTTTCTGGAGCAAGGTGAAATGAGGCCACCAGGATGGCAAAGAAAGTGATAAACAGAGCCCAGAGAAACTCTGCAGGAGTCGCCCCACACAATTCTGCCAGAAACATCTGGATGAGAGACTGACCCAGCCATCCCAGCCCTCCCAGCCAAGAGCCTGCAGGGATGGCCCTGGCACTCTGTGTCCTCAAGAGAGCTGAGCTGAGCTATAACTTCGCTCACAATGCAGAGACTCAGCAGGGCGCAATTTTAAGATGAAAATGTGCACATTCTATTTTGCCCCAGGGTGCAAGGAAATATAATAAATGGAAGCCTCTGGCTTCTGATACTTTATCATTTTTGTGACCAAGACTTGTATTTTATAAAAAACTATTTTAAAGGAAGGCAAAGAGAAAAACAGTGATGTAGATAAGCAATTAATTATTCTAGAAAATTAGGTAAACAAAGAGAGCATAAGGGCACAAGGGTACAGGCTGCTAAATTGTTCCTCAGCTCTCAGAATGATGGAGGAAGTAAAAATTGTTTTTATTTTGAACAGTTCTCTATTGAAGATCACAAGATACAGTATTTTGAAAAAAAGAAAACAATTTGCAAGGATGGAATTAGCTACAACCAACTAGTTTTGATCTGAAGTCTCCTACTTACAGCGGTCCCACCCGATTCTCCCTCACAGACCTGAGCATGACTGCCTTAAACAGGAGCTGACCTCCTCCGGCCTGACTATTGGCAAACCGAGGAAGGCAGCTATCCAAGATGCAGGAAAAAGTATCAATTTTAAATTAGGCAAGTTGTGCCTCCACTTACCAAAGACTCTTTCTATGATAGCATGATCTAATTAGCTCGTTAATATTTAGGCCATGCATTGCATAGCTTTTTTTAGTTAAAAAAATTATATTAGTACACTTTCAATAAACACAAGGATCTATTTTTTTTCTTTTAAATTAAATTTATTGGTACCTTCTAGGTAGACAGTGCAGTTACATTCATTACTGGGATCTTGTACCTTTACATGCCAGGTCTTGGTTCTCATTTTTTCCCCTTGTCCCCACCCTCTCTTCATCCCCTCCCCTCCCATCCCCACCTTCAAATACTTTAATTCATTTTTACATTTTCTCATATTTTTTCCTTTTCCCTTATTCCCCTTTCCCTATCCTTCTCACTGTCCCTACACCTTTGGTCCTTTTCTTCCTATTTCACATTGCTAATTGCCCCATTAGAATTTTGAGTACTATTTTAATTTTTCACACCAGAGAAACTATTCGGTATTTGTATATGTGTGACTTATTTATTTCACTTAGGAGTATATCCTCAAAATGTACCCATTTACCTATGAATGCATCTACTTTCTCATTCTTTATGGCTGAGTAGTATTCCATTTTATAGAAAAACCACATCTTCTTTATCCAGTTTCCAACAGATGGGCAGATTGGCTCTTTCCAAGTTTTAGCTATTACAAACTGTGCCACTATAAACATGGGTGTGCATATATCACTGTGGTATGATTCTTTTAATTCTTTTGGAAAGATACCCAACAGAGGGATGGCTGGATCAAATGGAACCTCTAATCCTGGTTTTTTGAGGTATCTCCATATTGACTTCCATAGTGGTTGCACCAGTCTGCACTCCCACCAACAATTGAGAAGTGTTCTTTCTCCCCACAACCCCACCAACATTTGTTGTTGTGTGATTTCTTGATAGAAGCCATTCTTTGTTGGGTGAGGTGAAACCTCAGTGTTGTTTTCATCTGTATCTCTCGAATGGCTAGTGATGTGGAGCATTTTTTCATATATTTACTTGCTGCTTTTATTTCTTTGTTTGAGAAATGTCTGCTCATTTCAGATGCCCACTTTAGAATTGGGTCTTTGTATTTTGGGGGGGCTGGTTGTTTTGAGTTCTTTATATATTTTAGATAATAGTCCTTTATCTGAGGAGCAGTTGGTAAAAAGTTTTCCCCACATTGTAGGTTGTCTCTTAGTTCTGTTGATGGTTTCTTTTGCAGTGCAGTAGTTTTAATAAGATGAGATCCAGGTTGTTGATTCTTTTTGCTAGTTCCTGTGATACTGAGGATTTGTTAATAAAGTCTTTTCCTATGCCAGTGTCTTCCAGAGCTCTGTCTAACTTAACTTCCAGAAAGTTTAGTGTTTCTGTTTTAATATTTAGATCTTTAATCCACTTGGATTTTAATTTAGTGCATGGTGAAAGATAAGAGTCTAGTTTTAATCTTTGGCAGGTTGAGATCCAGTTTTTCTAACACCATTTTTTAAAGAGGCTATCTTTCCTCCAGTGGGGATGGTCAGTTCCTTTGTCAAAGATGAGGTAGCTGAGTATATCTGGAGTTATTTTTGTGACTTCCATTCTGTTCCACTGATCTTCAGGTCTGTTTCTTTACCAGTACTATGCTGTTTTTAATCACAGTGGCTTTGTAGTATAGTTTCAAATTGGGAATTTTTATACCCACTGCCATGTGTGTGTTGCCTAGGATGGCTTTTGCTATTCTAGGTCTCTTGTGGTTCCAAACGAATTTTTGGATTCTTCTTTCTAGTTCTGTGAAGTATAGTGTTGGGATTTCAATTGGCATTGCATTTAATCTGTATGGTAGTTTTGGTAGTATGGCCATTTTCACTATGTTGATTCTTCCTACCCAGGAGCAGGGAACATCTTTCCATTTTCTTATATCCTCCTCAATCTCTTTTTTCAGAGTGCAGTAGTTTTCAGTGTAGAGGTCTTTTGCTTCTTTTCTTAGGTTGGTTCCCAGATACTTCATTTTTCTGGGTACTATTGTGAAAGGAATTGTTTCCCTAATTTCTTTCTCAGTGAGTCTGTTTGTATACAAGAAGGCTGTTGATTTTTGGGTGTTGACCTTGTATCGAGCTAGTCTGCTAAAAGTCTCTATTAAGTTTAGAAGACTTTTGGTGGAGTTTTTTGGTTCTTCAATGTAGAGTATCAAATCATCAGAAAATAATGACAGTTTAACTTCTTCCTTTCCTATCTTTATTGCTTTAATTTCTTTCTCTTGTCTAATTGCTACGGCTTACATTTCCAGAACTATATCGAAGAGGAGTGGTGATAGTGGGCATCCTTGTCTTGTTCCTGATTTTAACATGAAGGTTTTCAGTGTTTGGCCATTTAATATGATGTTGGCTGTTGGTTTTTCATAGATAGCCTTTATTAAGTTGAGACATAGACCATCTATTCCAATATTTTGCAGAGTTTTTATCATGAATGGGTGTTGAATTTTGTCAAACACTTTTTCTGCATTTATTGAGAGGATCACATGGTTCTTGTCCTTGACTTTGTTAATATAGTGTATTATATTTATTGATTTACATATGTTGAACCATCCTTGCATCCCTGGAATAAATCCGACTTGGTCAGGATGTATGATCTTCTTGATGATCCTCTGTATTCTGTTTGCTAGTATCTTATTGAGGATTTTTGCATCTATATTCATTAAGGAGATTGGCCTGTAGTTCTCTTTTTTAGTTGCATCTTTCCCAGGTTTGGGAATCAAAGTGATATTTGCTTCCAGGAATGAATTTGGAAGTATTGCTTCTCTTTCAATTTCATTGAAAAGTCTGAAATGGCAGTAGATCTTCTCTAAATGTCTTATAAAATTCAGCAGTGAATTCATCAGGACCTGGGCTTTTCTTTGTTGGTAAGTTTTTAATTACATTTTCAATTTCACTGATTGTGATTGGAGTGTTTAAAATGTTTTTATCTCTTCATTCAACTTTGGTAATTCATAAGTATCCAGAAATCTGTCCATTTCTTCTGTGTTTTCCATTTTATTAAAGTACAGATTCTCATAGTAGGTATTAATGATCCTCTGGATTTCTGTGGGATCTGTTGTGACTTCTCCTTTTTCATTCCTGATTGCATGAATCTGAGCCTTTTCTTTCCTTCTTTGGATAGGTTTGCTAAGGGTTTATCAATTTTATTTATTCTTTCAAAAAATAAACTCTTCAATTTATTTATTTTTTGTATCATTTTCTTAGTTTCCATTGCACTGATTTCTGCTCTAATCTTTATAATTTCCTCTCTTGTTCAAGCTTTGGGTTTTTCTTGCTCTTGTTTTCTTAGGAGTCTAAGAGTTATTGTTAGGTTGTTTATTTGAGCTTGCTCTGTTTTCCCAATGTGGGCATTCAGTGCTATGAATTTTCCACATAGAACTGCTTTCATTGTGTCCCATAGATTCCTGTATGTTGTACTGGCATTTTCATTTACTTGTAAAAACTGTCTGATTTCTTCTTTAATTTCCTCTATGATCCATTGATTGTTCAGGAGAGTGTTGTTCAATTTCCGTGTGTTCGTGAAGTTCCTATGGTTTCTTATGCTATTGATCTCCAGCTTTATTGTACTGTGATATGATAATATACAGGGAATAACTTCAATTCTTTGCATTTTTTCAAACCTGTTTTGTGATCTAGTATGTGATCTATCTTGGAGAATGACCCATGTGCAGCTGAAAAGAATGCATATTCTGATTTTGTGGGGTGGAACACTCTACAGACATCTAATAAGTCCCTATGTTCAAAAGCTTGGTTCAGTTCTAGTATTTCATTGTTAATTTTTTGTCTAGATGATCTGTCTATTTCTGATAGTCGGGTATTCAGATCCCCCACTACAACTGTATTAGTGGTTATTTGGTTTTTCATTTTACTTAATATTTGTTTTATATAGTTGGGGGCTTTTATATTTGGTGCATATATGTTTATGATTGTCATTTCTTCCTCTTGAATTGTTCCCTTTACAAGGATGTTGTGGCCTTCTTTGTCTCTCTTAATCAGTTTTGGTTTGAAGTTTGCTTTGTCTGAGAATAAGATTGCTACCTCTGCTTTTTTCTAGGCTCCTGTCACATGGAGAATTGTTTTCCAATCTTTCACTTTTAGTCTATGGGCTTCTTTTTGCACTAGGTGTGTTTCTTGTATAGCACATATTGTTGGATTTTGCTTCTTAATCCATTCTGCCAATCTGTTTCTCTTGATTGGTGAATTGAGGCCATTGACATTGATAGTTATAACTGATATGTTCTGACTTATTATTGTCATGTTATTGTCCTTTTGTTGACTCTTTTTTTATTGTTTTGTCCTCTCCTATTAGTTTCTTGCCTTGGCTATTTGATTTGCTCTGTTGGGCCTCCTAGTGCTGTAATCTTCATTGTCTTTTTCTAGGATATTGTTTAAAATTCTTTGCAGTGCTGGTTTAGTATTCATGAAGTTTCTCAAGTTTTCTTTGTCATGGAAGTATCTTATTTCCCTATCCATTTTGAAAGAGAGTTTTGCAGGATACATCAGTCTTGGTTGTAGGTTGTTTTCTTTTAGGACTTGAAATACCTCATTCCAGGCTCTCCTTGACCTGAGGGTTTGTGTTGAAAAGTCTGCTGTGATTCTGATGGGCTTTCCTTTGCATGTGATTTGTTTCTTTTCTCTTACTGCTTGTAGTATTTTGTTCTTCTGTTGGGTTTCTGGGATCTTGATTATTATATGTCTAGGTGTAGATTTTTTTGATCATGGCTAGTTGGTGTCCTATATGCCTCACTTATCTGTATGTCTAATTCTTCCCCTTCAGTTTGGGAAGTTTTCTGTCATTAATTCTGTGAACAGGTTTTTAAGACATTTGCATTTTCTTCTGGTACTTCATGGATTCCTATCAGTCTTATATTGTTTTTCTTTGCATCATCTAGGAGTTGTTGGATTGATTTCTCATGGTCCCTTACTGTTTTTAAGAGACCTCTCTTTTCATGGTCACTGTCTGCTATCCTATCTTCATATCTGAGATTCTATCTTCGCAATCTTTTATTCTGTTGCATATGCTTTCAATACAGTTTTTAATCCCCTGTATATCTGTTTGAATCTGTTTAATGGATTCCATTTCTTCCCTATGTTGGACATTCATTGCTTCCATTTCTTTCTTATGCTGGGCCTTCATGGCTTCTATTATGATCCTAAGCTCATCTATATTTTTTGTCAGTTTCTTTTCTGGAGTCTCGAATCATGTCTTTCATTTTGCTCACCATCTCTATGGTTATCTGGGAAATAATTTCTGTTTTGAATTTTTCTAGAGCTTGATTGATCAGTTTTTTTACTTCTTGTGCTGTGAGTTCTGAGGGTCCTGGAGGTTCACTATCTGATTTTTCATCCTCCTTTGCCTACTGTTTGCCATTGGTGGTCTTGAAGTCTGTTTCTGTGGCTTGCTTAAGTGTTTTCTCATCTTTATTTTTGCTGTTGGGTTGCCCTTGATTCTATCTCTGGGTCATTAAATCTTCCTGATATCATTGTGTGTCAGTTTTTGATTCTCTAATGACTTATAGACATTCTCATTGTCATAACTGAGAAAACAATTCATCAAATCAATCCCTTTCCTTTATCCCTATTGATACAATCAGGAACATAATAGGATCAATCCCCACCCTTTATAGCCTGCCATGCCTCTACAGAGTGCGTCCAAGGACTGGCTCAGTCAGGGGATCTAATAGAGGGAGGTGGGGGGCAATGGTGCTCAATGGTGCCTGTGTGGCTAACCTCCATTGTCAGAGCCAATCAGTGGCACCCGCTGGAAATGGCATGGCTCCAGAGCAGGCCCGTAGTTTCGGGCTGGACTGTGCAGCAGAGGTGGCTCTCCACAATGATCTCTTTAGTGACCAAAATACTTTCCACTGATCTTGAATGATTCTCACTCCTTTACATCTGACTCTTATCACCCAGCTAGTTCTACCCCTCTGTCTCTACATTTATCTTGCTGCTTCTCTGAAGCCCTGAGTGGACACTTAGAGAGACTCTGCCTGCTTATTTCAATGCAGGTGGCAGAACCACTGGGCTTAATCCCCGGCCTTCCTGTTTATTTCATGAGATTTTCCCCAACTATGGCATTTTTATTTAGTAAATGGGCTGGGTAGGTTGTGTTTGGATAGCGTTTCATCCAAGCTTTGATCTGTTTATAGGTATCACCTGAATGTACATCACAGTGGCCCTAACACAGAGGTATAATACATGCTGTATAAGAACTTACCTTGAGTCCATTTGTGATTCCCCATATTGAATGAGCCAAAACTACAACATAAAAATTAAATATCCAAATGTATAACCTATCCATTTTCCATTACCTAAAACACTCATCTATTCCTCTAGACAATGCCTCCTCACCTAGCTTGCCCTTTGGTACAGACCAGCTCTTTGCCACTTCCTATATCCCCCTCACTTGTCTTCACTTGTCACCTTTGCTCATTTTGTGACTTCACTCCACTTGGCAGGGAGCTACCTTCCATCACAAGTTTCCTTTCCCCATTCATAAGCTGAAAATTTGATTGTCCCAAGCCTCAAAGCAACACTGTCTCTTTTGATCAGTTCTGCCAAGTTTTAGTAACCATTGTTTCAAGTCTTTCATTTTACTTGTACGTGTCTGCTAGTAGAGTGTCGGAAATATCCTCCCTCTCTTGAGAGCTTTAGGATTATATATTGGTTTGCTTTCACCTGAAAGAAAACATAGCAACAAGATTTTGAGTTGATTTATTTGAGATGTCATCTTGGGAAACAAGAGGAGTGAGAAACTGAATCTAAATAATAACATGTGCATGATTAAAACAGTTACCACCATAGTAATAGAAATCAATTCCATTGGATACACTGGCTCATAGCATAGAACACATTAGAGCTATCTCAAATTAAGAGCAATAAAGACAGAATATTTAGCTACCAAATCCCATCTGTTATCACTACTTACTCCTTTTAGTTTTTCCTTTTGATGTACTGAGTGTGTTCTTATCATCCCAATGAATCCTCAAACAAAGCACTTGTGCCTAGCAAGACTGTTCAGTGTGTAAAAGGCAATGCTTTGCAGATGTAGCAGACACAGACAGCATCTGGGAAAAGAAGTCATTATGCTCTTTCCACTGGCTTACAGAAGGCTCTTCCTGCTGTGCTCAAGAATTTACTCGAAGTCACTTCAGTTTAACATGATATATTCAATATTCACTTGGTGCTGGGCACTAGGTACTGGAGATGCAGTGATGGGTAACATACTCTGGCTTTGAGATACTTACAATCTACTGGGACAACAAAATTGTGGAACTATCTCTTGCTATATTTCTAGTGAAAACAAACAAATATCATGTCTTTTTCTGGCTCTTTTCCAGGTCCTGAAAAATCACACTTTATTTCTTGGTCTTCAGGCACATAGAAGACTCTTCTTTCCCCACCATCTGCCCCTGCAATCCTCCCATTCCAGTCTCACTCGGTTCACCACTGATCATCACTCCAGTTTTAGTCACCTATTGCATCTTCCAAGGCCTTTTATCCCAATGGTCAAGTTAGAAGCTTTTCTTAAAAGTTTTCTTCAAATCCAACATGGTCTCAATCACTGTATTCATCTCAATGTATTATAACTTCTAGTTTATCTATTTGCATTTTCCATAAAAATGTAAATTTCAGTGAAGTAGTTTGTCCACTTCTGTTTCCTGGTTATAGCATGGAGTGGTTGTTTAATAAATATCTGATGGGTAGTTAGTCTTGCTCTCAGAGCACATGCATGCATGTGCACACACACACACACAGCACATAGTTAGGACTGCATTTAGTCCACTAACTGTGTTTTATTTGTCTTTAAGCTAAGCCAGAAATTGCCATGATTATGGAAAACAAAACCATAGATGTCTGGGGAAAGGTGAGTCACCCTAAAGCCTTTGAAAATCTACAGTGTTATGTATCAAAGTGTGTCAAATTATATACCTCCCAAAAATATTCTTGCAAAGGACTTTGCTCCTTAGTCCTTAGCCAATTAATTGCTGATAGAGATGAAAGGAAGATGAGCTGATTCTAGAAACGAAATGGGTATCCTTACTTTGACTTAAGGGTCTCAGAAAGTGTGATCTGCATCCATAGTCCTTAAATTTCCTAGAAAAACAAATTCAATTGCTTATACTTCTCCTTAATAAAAAAAAAATGAGAGGAAAGTAGGACAGAAAGCAGTGTGAATCCTGGTGTAAGAATGAGTGTTTTGTTCAGCTGACATTTGATTTGTTGTAATCCATTTCTTGCACCAACTTTCTCATTATTTTTATTTCAAAGTGACAAGAAAAAATGTGCCCTGCTGTACTTTCTCAGAACTCTGGCTATTTCTCTGACAGCAAGAGGGAGCCAGGAGTAAAAAGAAAGTAAACTAGTACCCTCTGACTTCTGAGTAGTTCCAAGCTTCCAGCCAGTGGGATCTGGACCTCTTCCTAGCTCCTGCCCTTGCTGGTTGTAATCTTGAGCAAATTTTATCACATCTTTTAGTTAGTTTTTCCAAATATATGAAGTATCAATAAGAGCATCTACACATTTTTTAAGAATAAAATTAATGTATGAAAAATTCTTAGGGTAGTGTATGGCATATATTGTAATACGATTTCTGGTTCTGATAGATATCAGTCATGTAATCTTACCACTGCGTACAAATCATGGTTCAGACTTTGTGGAATGGTTTTGGATGACTGTGCTTTCTCCAAGTATCTATCTTTTATCAACTGCATGTGTTAGTCTCTTTGATAACTACTATGTTCTGGTATGTAGAAATGTAGGCTTTTTGCTCTGCTCCAATTAATTTCTAAATTTATTATGGACTTTATTTCAACAGCTTAAATAAAACAAATAATCCACTGCTGTAATTTTGGGTAGATGTCTTTGTTTCTTAAAGGATCCCTTATACCTCCTTAGTGCCAGTATTTACAGGCCATTAAGACTTAAATCTAGAATGTCCTTCAAAAGTCTCAGGTGTTCAGAGGTGGGGCATGGGGAAGGAGCACTACAGTACTCATCAGTGAAGTCCAGAGCTAAATATGCTAAATAGAGCTAAATAGGATGCAAGGTCTGGTTGAAAGAGGCCAGTCAAGGGCCTCTTTCCTCCTTGACTCCTCCCTTCCCTCTCTGCTTCTTGGCTGCCGTGGTTTGAATAACTTCTGCACCACACCCCTCTGCCATCCTGTTTCTACCTTGAAACCAGCTGACTACACACTGAAACTATGAACAGAAAAAGGAAGAAATCCTGCCTTAATTTGTGGGTATTTTGTCCCAAAGACAGATAATATGAGCTTAATCCAGATATAAAAACCCATCAATTGGGGCCAAAGTTAACAGTTATTTTTAAAAAGATTTTGCCTTTCAAGGTATACATCACAAAATTTCCTTTTCTGTATGCAAGTTTTCATAGGTGCTGACTGGGAAAATTGAAGAACATTCTTCCTAGGGAATTCATACATAATCTTTCTCCAACTCCACATCACCAGCTACGTGGCATGGCTTGTCTACAAATATTTTCAGATCTTGCCAAACATTAGTAACTCTTCACTCTACTATTCTTCTAAGAGCTGCTGCATCTTTAGAGACTCATTACCTCTTCGGAGCCCTTTCACGTATTTTTATCTTGTGGGCTTCCAAGAAACCTCTGAAGGACAGGGATTTATCTTAGTGGCACTGCGCCTGTCTCACAAGCTCAAGGTCCTGAGTTTGATCCTTGGTACCAGGTTGGGAGGGAAGCCTGTAAAAGAGGTAGAGCACCTGTCATTTTACAGAAGAGAAATTTGAGCCTGAAAAGTCCGAAAAAATTGGCTGAGTTGCTAATGAAAGGCAGGCTTGGGGTGCATATTTAGCATGTCCACATTCAGAGAAGATGGAATAAGGAAAGGACATCATTCTTAAGGGTCACATAGCACTAATATAAAATCTTAATTCAACCACTTACTAGCTATATATCCTCAACAAGCATTAGCTTCCATAAGCTTCAGTTTACTAATCTCTAAAACTGAGGTAACGAATGCTCCATGGAGTCCTGAGGAAAATCGAATTTATACACCATTCTGGAGCACATGTCACATAATAGATGTCTCAGGGATTTTTTTTCCCTACCCATTATTTGTCACTCACTCCCTTTCACCCATTCCTTCCTAAGCACATATATGCATTAATCTGTTGTGTGAATGATTCTAGGAGAAAGTGTGGGATAATGAAAGAAACAGCATAGATTTTGTAATTAGATAGAGCTAACTTTAATTATTTTTAATACATTTTGCAATACTGGGGATTACGCACAGTGCCTTCACACTGGCCTGCATCCCTAACCCTTTTTAAATTTTGAGGCACTTTCTCACTGAGTCACTAAGTTGCCCAGGCTGGGCTTGAGTTTATCATCCTCCTGCCTCATGACATCCAGCTTAAATTTTCTTCATGACTTCTTAAGTGGAGCCCTGGGAACTTTAGTTCCTTAACTTCCTTATCAATGAATGGGGGTGGTGATTCTAACTTCCTGATGATGGTGAAAGGATCAGATGAGAGAAATGTATGCAAAGCACCTACTGTTTGGCAACCATAGTATTTCTTAAGTAATTTCCTGCACCCACTTCATTCCCTAGAAATTAACTGAGCGAACATGTGCATATTGGCTGTTTTACCTGTGGATATGTGTTTACTGCTCAGCCACTTTCAGTGCTGGATTGTGCTGGGGACTCAGGCAGTTGAGACCTGTGGTGCAGTTTTGTTAAACTTCTCAAGTTTATGACTAATTTGGTTTTTCTACAAAATAGTTGATCTACAATTGTTCTAACAATGATGCCTTTCCAACTTGAATATATCAGGGATAGAGAAGAAAAGTATCTCCTCTGTGAGGATCATAGTCTTACTTGTTCTTGAGGGCAAGACTTCTCCAGGGCTCTCACACACAGCACACACTGTTTTCCTGTAGTTCAGCTGAGAAGAGAGTCCTTCACCTAAAGCCCAAAGCCCACCAACCTGCAACTCATGCATCAGAGTAAAAGATGCTGGGCCAGAGAGCTCCTAGTCCATACCTATATCATAAGAAGGCATGAGAGAGATGAATAAAAACTTCAGAGTTTATACAATAGTTCAGGCTTTCCAAAGCCACATATGTCACTCTTTATGCTTGCATTCTGTGCTTTAACCCATCCTGTTCTTGTCACTTACTGTTTTTTTTAAGTTTGACAAAAATTAAGGGAAGAAATCTAAAGAAAATAAAATGACATGAAACACAAGAAACAAAAACAGTTTGAAGTTATGATACCTAAAGAGAAAGAGACTGCCCAATTAGAAGGAAAAAAAGCCATGTAAAACAGATACTATATTATTTGGTTTTGGTTTTACAAAACTTTCCCTATGGATTCTTGACCTTCTTACATTCCATTCCAATATGTGTGGGTTTGGTTTTGTTTTTAAGAGACTGGGAATGACAGCCTCTTGTATTCTTAAGCCTCTTTTGTGGCACAGAATGACTATAACTAAATGGCCAGGTGCATGACTCTCAGCCATCATGGTTTGCACTAGAGAGCACCTGGGTTTTCTGCATGGATGGAGAAGGTGCTCAGAGGCGCTCCCGACTCTGTGAGGAAACCACATGGGAAATGAAATCTGTTTTTAGCAGGGATTTCCCAGGGTGAGGGGGAAAGAGCATTATAGACCTGTAGAGTGGTCTGTGTTTTTAATAAGTCTGATGATGTTTGGATTACTGTTTGTTCCACAAACATCTCACAGGGACTACAGGTCTAGTTCTTAAACTACCTTACAACTCTAAGAAGCAGTTAGAATGAACCATGTACCAGGTAAGACATCACATTTATACCAGGTCTCATAAATTTCGGGGAGGTTGATGCCCATAAATTATTGGCTATCGAGAAGATAATAGGACATGTCTTCATCTTTTCCTGTGTTCCCCAACTCTCTCCTCAATATTCTACTCCCAACTCATTTAAAAAGCAAAAGTGCTAGAGGAATCTTCCAAAAGTCCACTCTTGCACAATGGCCAGATGACTATCCAGTTTAACTTTTCTATTCCTAAATGAACATTTTAGGCATATTCTTAGTCACTCATAAAATTGTTCTCTCTTTATGGATTATTAGGCTCTTTTTCTTCAAAGCATCTGTGAACATTTAAAGTTGAATGGAATGTTTTTAATCGGAGAACAATGGACTACTGTGCAGTTAGCATTTCAGAGGAGTCACAAGTAAAATCCAAAACATGCTTTTCAAACCAGGCTTGCTGGCTCACACCTGTAATCCCAGCTCTCAGGAGGCTGAGGCAGGAGGATCAATGTGAATTCGAAACCAGCCTGGGCTACACTGTGAGTTCCAGGTTAGTCGCAACTACATAGTGAGACCCTGTCTCAACAACCCCCCAAAAATAAATAAATAAACAAAACCTGCTTTTCAAATGAAGACTGGTATGTAATTAAAAAACAAAACTAAGTTACTTCACGAAGAGGCAGTCATGATCTTTTTTATTTCATGGTGAACTTCGAGACTACTGAGTCTCTTTCCCATTTTCACGCTGCTTCTCTGTTTTTTCCTTTTTAATCACTGTTTATTAGGTCTCCTTACTTACCCTCATCCCTCTATCTTCTTTTTCTGAGTTTCTTTTATGTCATCCTCACTACCTCCTCCATATTAACAGAGCATAATGTGAAATTAGACTCATTTAGAAATACTTGGGAGCAAATTTTTATGTTCTTTATTCTTAATGTTTAAACCATGTGCATTGAAAAGTCTTTGACTTCTCACCATGCTAATTACATACTAATTACATACAACACTAATTATGTGTTGGATTGTTGGAAAAACTTACAGACTACAGATAGACTATATTGGGAAAATAGCTTTGATCTGAGCAGACTGTAAAACACTTCAACAGTAGAGAAAAGATATATCATAAGTTCCAAAGAGCTGGATCACTCAGAGCAAGATTCACATTCAGGTCTCCAATCCCGTCCAATAACAGTACAAATAGATCTGACCCCGGAAGGCTGTGCTTTGCTAGTTTTGAGGTCTCTGCAAGTCACTGGTCACATAGGTGTATTTCAGTTCTATGCCCAGCCTCAGCTATGGAAACCTTGCCCTCCCCAAACCAACCACTAGGCACAAATGCTGTTGTCTTTACAATGTGACAAGTTCTGCTCATCCTAGCAAAACAAGCTTTATCTTTGATTAACATAATGCAGTTTTGTCCAATGGTCAGCAAACACTAGGAAGCCTGTAAATAAGCATTTGTTCAACTAATCTGCTGAAATTAATTTACAAGATGCACTTTTTTCTTAAGAACAAATTTTCACTAAATTACTTTGCTTGATATTTGAGCTGGCAAAAGTGAGTGTTTTCATAATGGACACTGTATGCACAATTTAAACAAAATGGAAAGGTTGTTACACTGCAGACAGGTCCTTCTCTTGCTGGCGTGCTGCCTTCTCAGCCCTCACCTTCCACTTCATCTCCAGTGTGGCTCTTTCCATCTCTTCCAGGACTTGCTCCCTCCTCTGCACAGCCCTCTCTCGCCATTCCACCGTCCTCTCCCTCCTCAGCACATCCTTTTCCCTCTGGCTTGCCCACTTGCTCCAGGAGCCTACCTCAGTCACCCTCAATGACCACAGGGAGATGGGTTGCCTGGGGCCGTGGGTCCTGGCCCTGCCCTGCCTGGCTGTGACCACTCTTCTCCAGCTCCTCTCTGTGCATGCTTTTCAGATGCTTCCAAAGGGCGGCGGTGCTCACGTTGATCCCTGGGCCACGGCTCACCTGCTTGCCACACAGGCATATGGGTTGGGGTGATTACCAGCACAAGCAGGGGCCAGATGGAAATATTCCCATGCTTCAGAGAACCGGGTCTGTTGTGGGGCCCCAGGGTGGGCGTGGTACTCACAAGCTGTCCAGCCAGGTCTGCGGGCCCACTGATCTCTTCCTCCTGCTGCATTTGTAAGTCTCTTTTGGCTTGCACCTCACTTACATCCTCTTCATCCTATTCCCACCTCACGGGGTCTCCTTTTCCACACAATCCTTAGATTGTACCTAGATATATGCAAAATGTTTTTAGTGAAGTCACAAGATGAATGTGCATTTGGGGAAAGACTGGGCCAAAGGTCAGCCACACTTGCTGCTGTGATATTTTCTCCTTTCTGGTTCACTGGAGAGTTTGGGTGTATCCCATCCAAGCAAAATGGCCTATGACTACGTTCTTTCTATGCTCCAGGTACTTACTGATCCCTCCTCGACTAGGCCACAGAGACAAACATTACTTCCTGTTGCAGAGGCATCCCTGCCCAATAATTACAGGGCTCTTCAGAGAACTCAGTGCTCTCTGCATTAGTCACTGCCACAGGTATTTTTAAAAACTGAAAGCTTTAGGTTCTCTCTTGGTTCTCTCTCTTGTTGTTTGCACTGTTTCTGTGCTGCTTGTTACCTACACACTGCATTCTGGAGACAGAACAAAGAATCTCCAGGTTCAGCCTGCTCAGGACTCTCAGAGCTGGGACCTCATTGGGCCTTCCTCAGAAGGTAAAATCAAATGTACAGATGCTGATAGAAGAGAAACTCTTGCTTCCTAAAAGCAGCAAGCAGTCCAGAGACTGCAAAGCCTCCCAGGACCTGAATAAGACAGTCTCCCATTTTGCCCTAGAAAGCTCCTTCTAAAGCTGTGATTCTGAAAACTCCAAACAGCAGGCCCAGCAGTTGTCAGGAGGAGGATCTAGGATGTGCAGACGAGAATGGGGCAAAGCACATCTTCACAGACACTCACGGTACTTCCCGGGTGTCCACTGCAAGAAGCTCATTACACTCCATCTTCCCCAGCACAATCACCTGCAAAGGCAACAGCCAACAAAACCGTCTTGAAGCACCTTATACCAGATGTTTGGCTTATTCACTCCATTTTAGATATGAATAAATAAACAAAAACTTGCATTTCTAAAACAGTCTCATTGCTCTCTTTTTCCTGATCATTCTCTTAAAGAATATTTTTATGAAGCTTTGCCACTCTGAACCCTTCTGTAAATCCTCCCTCTAGCTGCAAGTGAGTACTTACCAGAAAGGCTCTCAACCTGTCTGTGTTCTCTCTGGTGCAGAGTGAATATACTCATGCACTTACTGGATGACTATCAGCTGGCATCTACCCCAGGACAAGGACACCTCCAGCTTCCAGTTTCCTCCCACTTCCAGAAGAGTTTTGCTTCCAAGTAGGTGTGTCTGTGCCTTTTTTCTGCAGCACATAGACGCAAATGTAAACCTCTTCTCTACCCGCTCTACCACCAAAACAAGGTGTTCCTGGCAAATGCCATGCAAGCTCCTACAAGTCTTAGTTCTATTTCCCATGGCTAGATTATCTGGTCTCCAAAGAGGCCATGTTGATGAGTTCCTCACAACTTTGCAACATAGATCCCCAAGAAAATGCAGGCCTGCCTGTATCTTCCCTGTCCATAATCTGTGACTGTTTTCTAAATTATTCTCAGATTTTGCTCTATTATATATTCTTATACAACTGTCCAAAGACTTTTTGGCACCTACTACATAATGTGTTATTTTTCACTTATTCTTTAAGTACTTAGAATAATGTGTTGGAAAAAAACAATTACATGACTTGTCTCTTTGCAACATGCACAAGAATAAGTGAAAGTTTTTTTACTTTTCAGCCAAGGAGCATGTGTGTATATATATATTCATGTACAACTATATTCTTATGCATATTTACTATACTTTATATTTTTGTGATTTCACATGTTTTTCTTCTCGCTCATTTAAACCAGGTAGAAGTTCACCAGTAAAAACAGCTCTGCTCACTCATTAGACCATATATGCTTGATATTTTGTGCTTGACTTCAAGTTGAACTACTTTAGTCTGTGGCTTTTTAATTTTAGAGTTTGGGAGGACTTTAGAACAATGGTCATATCCCCAAACCAAATTTCAGAACATAAAATCTGGAGATAGTGTAGAATATTTGAAATTTGTACCATTCCAGGAAAACTGAGGCCCCAAAATCCACAAAAGTCAAATCCTTTCAACTATTTTTAGAAGTTGATAAAAGTTTTCTTCAGTAAGCCACTTATCTTTGCAAAATGATGAAACCTCCTCTTGTTCCTGATATTACCATATTGTCATCTTTTGGGTAGTTACTGAAGGTGATGGAAATTAGTCATGAGGCTGGTTAAAGGCAATGAATGCAATACAAACCTTCAAAGCTTATTTTTTAACTGTTCATTTCCTATGTCTTTATATTCCTTCCTGACCAACTAGACATAAAATCAATCTTTGGCATCTTAGCGGATAAAACAAACTGGACTCTCTTTCCTTTGTTTAATAAGAGTGTGTTTGGGGATTCTAGTTTTTATTTTTCGGGAAAGAAAATATATAATTTTTAATTTCTACATCCCTGCCCTATGCATCTGTCCCCATTATCTGGAAAAATAAATATTGACTGAGTGGAAATATTGAGAGCTACCTACTCTGTTAGATATGACAGATAACCTCCTTTTTTAAAAATTGAGTATAATGGTACTTTTTAGGTATACAGTAAAGTTACATTCATCATTGGGATCTTGTACCTTTACATGACAGGTCTTGGTTCTCATTTTTTCCCCTTGTCCCTACCCTCCCTTCACCCCCTCCTCCCCTCCCTATTTACAAACACTTTATTTCCATTTTTTCATTTTCTCATGTTTTTTTTCTTTTCCTTTATTTCCTTTCCCCTACCCTTCCCACTTTCCCTACACCTTTAGCCCTTTTCTTCCCATTTCGCAATGTCAGTTATCTCATTAGGATCTCATGTACTATTATAGTCTTTCATACCAGAGAAACTATTCAGTATTTACAAATGTGTGACTTATTTATTTCACTTAGGAGTATATCCTCAATATGTATCCATTTTCCTATGAATGACTCTAATTTCTCATTCTTTATGGCTGAGTAGTAAACCACTATGGAAATCAATATGGAGATATCTCAAAGAGCTGGGACCAGAGGTTCCATTTGACCCATCCATCCCTCTGCTGGTTATTTTGCCAAAAGAATTAAAATCATACTGGAGTGATGTATGCACACACATGTTTATAGTGGCACAGTTTGTAATAGCTAAAACTTGGAAACAGATAACCCCCTTTGAAAGTCATTTTGGGGTTTTGATAGTGATATACTGAGGATGGTAAGCTGAACATTAGCAGAACCTCACCAGAAAAATATTACCTCAGCTGGGGATTTAGCTCAGTGGCACCACACCTGCCTTGCAATTGCAAGGTCCTGAGTTCAATCCCCAGTACCGGAAAGGTAAAAAAAAAAAAGCTAACTAGTTCTCTTGAGTTTGATGTCTCAGCTCTACAGGCTCAAAATTTTTTAAAAAATTTTTTTGTACCAGGGACCGAACACAGGACCTTTCACTTGCAAGGAAGGTGGTGGCACCACTTGAGGTAAATCCCAAGCCCAGTATGCTCAAATTCTTCAAGAAGAACTGATTTACTGATTTATAGGTTGACACACTAAATATCACCCACAGTTAATTGTTCTTTATTGGTTAACTACTATATTCAACAGCTGCGGAAAATATTTGGGTGCTACTAACTGGAGCTAGGCATATGTAAAATATACACATCTCAATGAGAAAACGGGTGATTTTTACATAAAAGTATAACTTTACAGGTATCAGATAAAACCACAAGGATTTAATAAGTATTATTGGGGGCTGGGGATTTAGCTCAGTGGTTCTGCCACCTGCCTCACAAGCACAAAGACCTGAGTTCGATCCACAGTACAAAAAAAAAAAAGTATTATTGGATTTTTTTTGGCCAGGCTGTGGAAAAAAACCTATCAGCAAAAGAATGAACACTGTCAAAAATAAAATATAATCAACCCTCCACCCAAGTTTTCTCCTTTTGTAACATAGCCACCTGTTTCGTTTCCTTTTTTTTTTTTTTTTTTTTTTTTTTTTTTGTACCGGGGATTGAACTTGGGTCCTTGCTCTTGCAAGGCAGGCCACCGAACCACTGAGCTAAATCCTTGGCTCATTTCTTTATTATTTCAATAGAGTGAATTTTACCTGAAAATATTTTGGACTAGCACTCAGGAGATATAGTTCTTAACTGTGCCATTAACTACTTTCCACTTCCTTTAATCCCTTGATACCTTGATTTTTTCCTATCTATCAAATGGTAATAACAAGGTATCCCCTATTTTCCATATACTCTCAAGACACAAAAATGAAAAAATTAGGAAAATTGTTTACAAGTTAAAAGTGGTATGTTTGTATCAAATGGTTTCTGTGGTTGTTATGACAAATAGTCTTTTACATTATTTACCAAACATAACGTGTGGGTATCTTTTAGCTTCTAATGTAATAACGTTCTTCTCTGGTCTCTTCTTGTTGTAGATCTTCCTTCTATTCTTTGGTTTCCATTTAGTGTGAGTTTATTCTACCTACACAAAAATTATAATTTGCCTGTTCCAGAACCCATAATCCAGACTTGTAACATTAATATAGTCCTAGATTCTTAAACAGATCTGGGAAATCTAGCTATAAATTTCTTTATAGGCAATAGCCCACATATACTATACATTTTTAAACAGTCTACCCTAAAGATAGACAAACTTTGTAGTTACCCAGTTAAAAATAGAGAAACTCATTTCTTACTGAGTTGCCTCATGTTAATGTTGGTGGAGATGTGAAGGGCTCCAATTTCTTCTAAATTTGCAAATAATCCTCTTTCTCTCTGTCCTAGAGTATATTACCCTCTCACTAAAAAAAAACGTATTTCCCAAAGCAAATTTTACATGGCTTATTGATGGCCAGTTGCTTTGGGGTGACAAAGAAGATAAGGAAACAAATTAATGAAAATGGGTTTGGCAAAGAAAGGAAGAAGAGAAAAAGGAGAAGGGAAGGAAAGAAGGAGGAAGGGAGGGAGGAAGGAAGGAAGGGAAAAAGGGGAGGGAAGAGGGAGGGAGATTAAAAAGCATTTCCAAAGCTATCGTTGGCATTTAAAAATAATTTCCATTGGAAAATAATCTTACCTAGTAAATATCATTTTCTAATATTTTATCTGACTACTCCAAGAGGATGAAAGATAACACTTCTCAAAATTAAACATAATGGACCGCAGCAAACGACATACAAACACTTTTACTTGAGTGTTAATAAAATCAGCTATTTTATATGAAGGCAAAAGCATTTGATTCAACATACAGTTATTAATAGGTTCTCTGATATTGAATATTGTTGCTTCCATTTTTTTCTTAATTCAGTATCATGTGTCCACTTTATGCAGCAGCCCTGCTTTATGTCAGTTAATAAGTGATTTTTGCTTTTTCTTGTGAGGATATGAGGCAGGGCTTGAGGATATTGCACTGGAGGAAGTGTGTATAAATGAGTTGGCTCCTTCAAAAGGAACAAGGGAATTAGAAATCCCTGGAACAGGAACACACCAAGACAAGCTCAGCACAAAGCTGTACTTTTCTTAGGTGTGGACCATGACAGCAAACCTTACCTGGACAACAGGTCTTCCCCTAAGTTGTTTTTCCTCTAAGAGCAATACATTTTCACAATAACTGAGTCACAAAACTCTTGCTGCATTATTATTTTTAAGTGAAAAATCAAAATCTTATGTTGCTAATGATCATACTGATAGTTTGATGCATGGTTTGTTTAGTTCACTTTTAAAACAGTTCACCCACAGCAATAACACAATGCAATGCTAACGATATAAGGGTTCTTAAAGGTTATTATAAATATATTCTCGTGTTAAACAAACTGCATAGGTAAAACACCCAGACTTGCTGTGCCCATGATTCTCACTACTAAAAAGGCCAAAGTATTTGCTCAGAATTCCACCAGTGCACAACTGCATTTAGCTACTACTTTTTTCAAGTAGTAGGATTAAGAACCTTTGATGTAAGGAAGTCCAGAGAGATTTTACCTATGGTGATATATGTTTATACATTAATTTCCTGTTGCTGCTTATGCAGTTTGGAGGTTGTACCAACAATAACAGTTAAAGAGAATCCAAAAATCGAAAGAAAACTCACAGGACACAAAATGAAACTGACTATAAATCCAGTTTATTTCAGGAAAAGGATACAAGGTAATAGCATAATTAAAACATTCATTATCTGCTACACTTAAAGCAAGGAGT